AAAAAAAAAAAAAAAAAAAAAACTTATTTAGCTAAGAAATGATACACACAAAAAAGACATACAAAAAACTTGTTATGTCAATGTATACAGATCTAACTTCCTTCATTTTGGAACTCAGAAGTCATCTGGCTAAAATAAAATATAGCTATTATATAATCTAAGTAGTATAGACTTCTTACCATCTCCTATCACTCCCTTGGCCCATCTTTCAGCTCACTGCTCATTTGTAAGAGCAAGGATGATAAAGAAGAAATTAAAATTTTTTAGTTTTAAGGATTTTCTTGAGGTTTCATTTTTATGTTAATTTCAAGCCACAATGATGGAATAACAAGAAAATAACGTTCAATGTTAGTATTTCACCTATTAAAAATTCTATTGCCATTAGATAAGTCACTTTAAAAATTATAGTAACAGGGCCAGGAGTTTAGTTTAGTGGCACCTTGCAAGCACAAGTTCCTGAAACGGATCTCTGCTACTGAAAAAAACAAAAAAATTCCTTGGAGATTTAGCTCAGTGGTGACCATGCCTGCCTCGCAAGCACAAGGTCTGAGTTTGATCCCCAGTAAAACAACAACAACAAAAAAGATGTAAAAATTATAGCAACAGATACAAACATTCTTCAATACTTACCTACACTGAGCAACGCTTCTATGAACTCCTCTGTCACAACAGGTAGAGGAAGACGAAATATATCATAAAGCACTTCAAGCAGACCTCGCTGCAAAAGCAAATAAATACAATTTATTTTATAGAATAAATCTTGAAAGATTTTTTTAAATGTTTTAGTCACAGAATAGAGAAATGGAAATAATGGAATCTTGGAAGATTACAATAAAGGCTTATACTAGAAAAGAGGTATTACTGAATGATTATTACATACATCATATAATCTTTTCCAAGAATCTTTCATTATCCCATTGTGTATATGAAAAAAATAGATCTCTTATTCTTTCAAAACTGAAAGGTAAAAAGTCAGGTGACGGTGTAGGGGTCAGTGGTAGAGCACTTCCACAGCATGCGATGACCCAGCATTTCATCCCAAATAACTTCCCCTCCCAATAAAAGCAGTAAACTAAATTACCCTAACCCTTCTCAGAGATCTTTCCATTTATATCCATATCCTTTCATTTTCATGATCTAAATGTATTTTATTTCACATGTTAAGCAAGGAACATCTGGCTGATACTTTCTAATATTTTTGATGCCGGGTTTGGTTCATATAAAGAAGAAACAAGGGGCAAAAAAAGGATTAAAATAAAAAGGAAAATATTATGTAAGGGGAAAGAATCATTTGAATTAATTCTATTTTTCTTTTGCTCAATTTGTTTTTATATGGTTAGTAAGAACACCCTACTCACCAATAATTTAGGAATATATCAATTAATCAATATACAAAATGAATTTTAATCAAAAACACCATCCTTAAAACAGAAACTCATGAATATACTTTAAAAAAGGCTGCTCCCTCCACTCCAGCCCCCTGGGCCTTCATCAGAGTAGACCAGTGAGGACTGCTTAGCTGAGTGGGCACCAAGGGAAGCATTGCCTCTCCTCCCACCTGCTGTTCTCTCAAGCCTCCTGGCTGTGAGGGTACATGGATCTGCACTGCAGAGGCACAGGTAGTCATAAAGGCCATGTTACTGAGCTTCAGAAGACAGAACAGAAGAGAACAACTGTAATAAAGGCATATCAGACCTCTATAATTGGTAAGTTGGAGAGTCACCACCTTCCATCAGAACTTGGACTATCTTTAGGGGAAGGGCAGCTGCAACCCACAGGTGAACCTTGCAAAGTTCAACCATGCAGGAGGTCAGGGAGCTCAACTTGAGCCTTACAGCCAGAATTCATCCTGAATCTCAGGGTCTGCTGTTGGCTAGCTGAGGCTAACTGACTTAGTTCTACAAACTACTGCCCACATTATCTATTGCGACAGCAGAGATACACCCTGAAAGATGCTCTTCTAATTTTTTCTTTCTTTTCCTCTTATTTTCAATTTTTAAATTTTATTTTTAAATTTTTATTTTTTTTCCATTCTGAAAGTTCTTCCTTTTTCCATTCTTATTTGTCATGCTCAATCTCTTGCTCTCCCACATTATTCTTCATCTCCCTTTTTGTTACTATTCCTGCCCTAATTTGCGTTTTTTCTTTCTTTTTCTTTTCTTCTTTCCTTGGCTAGGGTCATTAGTTTCAAAGGAAAGTGAGTACAGTTTATACCGTCACTATTACTGTTAATTCTTGTCTTTCTTCCTGCAATGTCTTTCCCTCTTCAACAGTTTCCTAGAGTTTGCATGATCAACCTGTGTCCTCTTGCTTCAACCTTGAAACATTCTCCGATTCTTTTACCTGTCTATTGCTCTCCTCTCAACATCTTCTAAGTCCCAATCCTGAAGGTAAAGTTGCTATATTGAAGAATTTATTCACTATAAACATATTTTGGGATGGTCCTTGATTTTGATTTAATTCACGTGGTTAAAGGTGATAAGATTAATAACTACCACAAATAGTCAATTTCTAAGCTGTGCTTGATGCTATTGTGTTGCTGATTGTATCAACTGGGCTAAAGGGTTGTAATTGATTTAATGAGTTGTCCTTTCTGATATTACAAAAATGAGAGTATCTATGAGTCATTAGAGACTCAAAGCCTAAACTGCAGCTATATCAGGAAGATCAAAGTACTAACCAGGAATTGAACCGAGGACAGCCCAACAACAAAAATAAAAATAAGAAAAAACTTAATCAAGGCACAAAGACAGACTTCCGGTTCACCAACAGCAAATTCTACGGAAAACGAGGTGGGAAAGTCTTGACGTTCAACCACCAGGACACCCTGAACTCATAGCACAGGGAATAATAAAACAGATCAATCAAACTCTAAAAAAACTGAAAACAGAAAAAATTTCCCAGATAACTACAGAGATGGTAAGCACAATGAAGGACATAATTAGAGACTCCAGAGCAGAAAGAAACAAAAAAAATAAATGAGCTCAGGACCATGATAGAGGCCATGAAAGCCCAGCATAGGAAAGAAATAGAAACCATAAATGCTCAACATAGGAAAGAAATGGAATCCATGAAATAGATTCAAACAGATATCCAGGAAATTAAAAGCTATTGAAAGCATTCACAGAAAGATGAGTCAGATACAGAAGATGCAGTCAGTGACCAATAAAAGAGAGATCTCTTTAAAACAGTAAAGGATCCTCAGAAATTGATCCAACAACTCCTAGATAATGCAAAGAAGAAAATATAAGAAAGCCAGAAATCCATGAAATAGCAGGAGAAAAGTGCAAATGACTTAAAACAGCTGTTCAAAGAATTAATGACAGAAAATTTCCCAGAGGGAAGAATTTGACATACAGATAAGTAAGGCATATAGGACTCCAACTAGCATGATTAAAAAAAAAAAAATCTACACCTAGACATATAATAGTCAATATCTGGGAAAACCAAGAGAAGAAAAAAATACAAGCAGTTAGAGAAAAGAAACAAATTACATGGAAAGGAAAGCCCATCAGAATCACAGCAGACTTTTCAGTGCAAAGGCTCAGGTCAAGGACAAAATGGAATGAGGTATTTCAAGCCCTAAGAGAAAACAACCTCCAATCTAGATTGATGTATCCTGCAAAATTCTCTTTTAAAATGGAAATAAGATATTTCCATAACAAAGAACACAAGAGAAAATTCATGAATACCAAACCAGCACTACAAGGAATTCTAAAAATATCCTAGAAAAAGACAATGAAGGTCACAACACCATGAGGCACAACAAAGCAAATCAATTAGGCAGGGCAAGAAACTAAAGGCAGAGGGGGAAAAATTAAAAAGACCCAACAACGGGACAATAACATGACAATGATAAGTCAATACCTATCAGTTATAACCATCAATGTCAATGGCTTCAATTTACCACTTGCCTTGCAAGCGCAAGGACCAGAGTTCGATCCCTAGTACCAAAAAAAAAAAAGACTGGCAGAAAGTATTAAGAAGCAAAATTCAACAATATGTAGTATACAAGAAACACACCTAGTGCAAAAAGAAACTTATACAGTGAAAGTGAAAGTATGGAAAAACAGTTCTCCGTGCAACAGGAGCCCAGAAAAAAGCAAGGGTAGCAATCTTATTCTCAGAAAAACTAAATTTCAAACCAAAACTGATTAAGAAAGACAAAGAAGGCCAGTATATCCCTGTAAAGGGAATAATCCAAGAGTAATAGATGACAATCATAAATATATATGCAACAAATATTAATGGCCCCAACTATACAAAAGAAATATTAAGGGACAAGAAAAAAAAAGCACTGATACAATTGTAGTGAGGGACCTAAATACCCCACTGTCACAAATAGATCATCTAGACAAAAACTCAACAACGAAATACTAGAACTGATCCAAGCTTTTCAACAAATGCACTTAATAAATGTCCACCCTACAAAAATAGGAATATACATTCTTTTCGGCTGCACATGGGTCATTCTCAAAAACACACCACATACTAGCTTATAGTACATGTTTAAATAAATGCAAAGGAATTGAAGTTATTCCACGTATATTATCAGGCTATAGTGCATTTAGGCTGGAGATCAGTAGCATAAGAACTTCACAAACCCATGGACATTGAACAACACTCACCTGAACAATCAATGGGTCACAGAGGAAATTAAAGAAGAAATTATTTAGTCTTTACAAATAAAGGATAATACCAATAAAACATACAGGAGGAATCTATGGGACACAACAAAAGCAGTTCTGCATGGAAAATTTATAGTAGTGAATGCCCACACTAGGAAAACAGAGCAAGCCCAAATAAACCTAATGATGAATCTTAGGCTTCTTGAAAAAGAAGAGCAAGAAAAATGCAAAGCTCGTACAAGGGAGGAAATTATAAAGAAGAGAGCAGAAATCAATGCAATGGAAACTAAGAGAACAACACACAAAAAATCAATGACTTGAAGAGTTGGTTTTTCAAAAGAATAAATAAAATCAATAAACCCTTAGCTAACCTTATCAAAAAAAGTAAAGAAAAGGCTCAGATCCATGCAATTAGGAACAAAAAAGGTGAAGTCACAACAGATCCAGCAGAAATCCAGAGGATCATCAATACCTACTTTGAGAACCTACACTCTAATAAAATGGAAAACACAGAAGAAATGGACAGATTTCTTCATATTTATGAATTACCAAAGTTGAATGAAGAAGATAGCAAAATTCTAAAAACGCCGATCATAATCAGTTAAATTGAAAATGTATTTAAAACTTTACCAATGAAGAAAAGCCCAGGTCTTAATGGATTCATCTCTGAGTTTTACAAGACATTTAGAGAAGAACTACTGCCACTGCTCTTTAAACTTTTCAATGAAATTCAAAGGGAAGCAATACTTCCAAACTCATTCCTGGAATCAAGTGTTACTTCGATTCCCAAACCAAGGAAAGACCCAACCAAAAAAAGAGAGCTACAGGCCAATCTCCTTAATAAACAGAGATGCAAAAATCCTCAGTAAGATACTGGCAAACAGAATGCAAAATATCATATATCCTGACCAAGTCAGATTATCCCAGGGATGCAAGAATGGTTCGACATACATAAATCAGTAAATGTAATCCACTATATTAACAGAGTCAAGGACAAAAACCACATGATCCTTTCGATAGATACAGAAAAAGCATTTGACAAAATTCAACACCCATTCATGATAAAAAAAAAACACTGCAAAAAATTGAAATAGATGGTCTATATCTCAACTTAATTAAGGCTATCTATGAAAAACCAACAGCCAACATCACATTAAATGGCCAAAAACTGAAAACCTTCACATTAAAAGCAGGAATAAGTCAAGGATGCCCACTATCACCACTCCTCTTCGATATAGTTCTGGAAACATTAGCCACAGCAATTTGACAAGAGAAAGGAATTAAAGCAATAAAGATAGGAAAGGAAGAAGTTAAACTGTCATTATTTGCTGATGATATGATACTCTACATTGAAGACCCAAAAAACTCCACCAAAAGACTTCTAGACTTAATTGACACTTTTAGTAGAGTAGCTGGATACAAGGTCAACACTAAAAAATCAATAGCCTTTTTGTACACAAATAACAGACTCACTGAGAGAGAAACTAGGGAAACAATTCCTTTCACAATAGCATCCAAAAAAAATGAAGTATCTAGGAATTAATCCAACAAAAGAAGCAAAGGACCTCTACATTGAAAACTATAGCACTCTGAAAAAAGAGATCGAAGGGGATATAAGAAAATGGAAAGATATCCCCTGCTCCTGGGTAGGATGATCAACAGAGTGAAAATGGCCATACTACCAAAACTGTTATACAGATTCAATGCAATGCTGATAGAAATTCCAAAAGTATATTTCACAGAACTAGAAAAACTGGATTTCAACCTGCTAAAGATTAAAACTAGAACCTTATCTTTCACCATGCACTAAACTAAAATCCAAGTAGATTAAAGATCTAAATATTAAAACAGAAACACTAAGCTTGCAGGAAGATAAGTTAAGACAGAACTCTCAACATCAACATTGGAAAAGACTCTATGAACAAATCCTCAGTAGCACAGGCACTAGCATAAAGAATCAACAAATGGGATCTCATCATATTAAAAAGCTTCACACTCTAATAAAATGGAAAACACAGAAGAAATGGACAGATTTCTTCATATTTATGAATTACCAAAGTTGAATGAAGAAGATAGCAAAATTCTAAAAACGCCGATCATAATCAGTTAAATTGAAAATGTATTTAAAACTTTACCAATGAAGAAAAGCCCAGGTCTTAATGGATTCATCTCTGAGTTTTACAAGACATTTAGAGAAGAACTACTGCCACTGCTCTTTAAACTTTTCAATGAAATTCAAAGGGAAGCAATACTTCCAAACTCATTCCTGGAATCAAGTGTTACTTCGATTCCCAAACCAAGGAAAGACCCAACCAAAAAAAGAGAGCTACAGGCCAATCTCCTTAATAAACAGAGATGCAAAAATCCTCAGTAAGATACTGGCAAACAGAATGCAAAATATCATATATCCTGACCAAGTCAGATTATCCCAGGGATGCAAGAATGGTTCGACATACATAAATCAGTAAATGTAATCCACTATATTAACAGAGTCAAGGACAAAAACCACATGATCCTTTCGATAGATACAGAAAAAGCATTTGACAAAATTCAACACCCATTCATGATAAAAAAAAAACACTGCAAAAAATTGAAATAGATGGTCTATATCTCAACTTAATTAAGGCTATCTATGAAAAACCAACAGCCAACATCACATTAAATGGCCAAAAACTGAAAACCTTCACATTAAAAGCAGGAATAAGTCAAGGATGCCCACTATCACCACTCCTCTTCGATATAGTTCTGGAAACATTAGCCACAGCAATTTGACAAGAGAAAGGAATTAAAGCAATAAAGATAGGAAAGGAAGAAGTTAAACTGTCATTATTTGCTGATGATATGATACTCTACATTGAAGACCCAAAAAACTCCACCAAAAGACTTCTAGACTTAATTGACACTTTTAGTAGAGTAGCTGGATACAAGGTCAACACTAAAAAATCAATAGCCTTTTTGTACACAAATAACAGACTCACTGAGAGAGAAACTAGGGAAACAATTCCTTTCACAATAGCATCCAAAAAAAATGAAGTATCTAGGAATTAATCTAACAAAAGAAGCAAAGGACCTCTACATTGAAAACTATAGCACTCTGAAAAAAGAGATCGAAGGGGATATAAGAAAATGGAAAGATATCCCCTGCTCCTGGGTAGGATGATCAACAGAGTGAAAATGGCCATACTACCAAAACTGTTATACAGATTCAATGCAATGCTGATAGAAATTCCAAAAGTATATTTCACAGAACTAGAAAAACTGGATTTCAACCTGCTAAAGATTAAAACTAGAACCTTATCTTTCACCATGCACTAAACTAAAATCCAAGTAGATTAAAGATCTAAATATTAAAACAGAAACACTAAGCTTGCAGGAAGATAAGTTAAGACAGAACTCTCAACATCAACATTGGAAAAGACTCTATGAACAAATCCTCAGTAGCACAGGCACTAGCATAAAGAATCAACAAATGGGATCTCATCATATTAAAAAGCTTCTGTACTGTAAAAGAAACCACAACAGAGCTAAGAGACAAACTGCAATGTGGGAAAAAAATTTTTTATCAGCTGTTCCTCAAAGGACTATTATCTAGAATACATAAAAAACTCAAAGAAATCAGGCCCCCCAAATATAAAGACTTGATTAAAAAATGGGCATCTGAAATGAACAGACATTTCTCAGATAAAGTAGTAAAAGCAGCAAAAAAACCTTTTAAAAAATGTTCAACATCACTGGTCATTCGAGAGATGCAGATGAAAACAACACTGAGATTTCACCTCAAACCAGAAAGAATGGCTGCTATCAAGAAATCAACCAATAACAAATGTGGCGGGGTTGTGGGGAGAAAGGAACCCTTCTCCATTTTTGGTGGGAGTGCAGAGTGGTGCAACCACTATGGAAATCAATATAGAGATACATAAAAGAACTAGAATGAGAGGTTCCATTTGACCCAGCTATCTCTCTGCTGGTTATCTTTCCGAAAGAATTAGAAGAATAATACCACAGTGATATCTGCACACCTGTGTTTATAGCAGCACAGTTTGTGATAGCTAAAACTTGGAAACAGCCCAAATACCCATCAGCTGGAGACTGGATAAAGATGTAGTTTTTCTATAACATGGAGTACTACTCAGCAATAAGGAATAAGAAATTAGAGTCATTCATAGGAAAATGGATGCATATGAGGCCATACTCTTAAGTGAAATAAATAAGACACACATGTGGAAATACCAAATAGTTTCTCTGGTATGAAAAACTAAAAGTGTAAATAAGATCCAAATTGTATAACTGATAATGTGAAATAGGAAGAAAAGGGCTAAAGGTGCAGGGGAAGTGGGAAGAGTAGGGCAAAGGAAATAAGGGAAAAGAAAAAATATGAGAAAAGGAAAAAATGGAAACAAAGTCTTTGTAAAGATAGGAGGGTGGAGGGGGTGAAGGGAGGCAGAGGTGGGGTATAGGGAAAAATGAGAACCCAGATCTGTCATGTAAAGGTACAAGATCCCAATGATGCATGTAACAGTACTGCACACTTAAAAAGTACCAATAAACAGAATGAAAAAATATATATATATAGTAAAAAAAAAAAAATACAAATGAGAAGGCACAGATACATAATAGTACATCTACTTTTTGCTGGATGAATTTCTGTAGTGTTTAGACCTTTACAATGAGAATGTCTTTCTGTCTTACTTGTGTTTGTTTGGTTGGTTTTTTGGTACTGGGGATTGAATTTGGGACCTTACGCTTGTGAGGCAGGCAGTAGCACCCGCGAGCTAGATCCCTGGCGCTTACTTGTGTTGTTTTAATGAATAAAGTTAAATTGACATTTTCAACTCGATTTTTTAAAATATAATCACTATTCCTAACAGCAGTATTTTAAGTGATTAGTATGACATTTAAGAGTTATGTATTAAATACTCATATTTTCTTAAGTGATATATAACAAAAATTACCCACTAATGAGGATAAAAAACACCCAAAGTATTTTTTTAAATAATTTATCTCTTCCATCAAAATTCAGGCATGAAACAAGTCACATAACTTTTACCTACCCTGATTTCCATATTTGGTATACAAAGTACTCCAATTAGCGATTGGATGCCAGAGTTTCCAGGTTTACACAAATTAATAATACCTACAAAGGGTAAAAGAAAAAAAGTCAGGGACTTAAAAGATGAAAATTTTCCTTTAGCAATATAACATAAAATTTGGCATTTCTCCAATCTAAATTATATAACTTGCTTATCACAACTGATAACCATGTAGGTGAAGTGCCTTTCAAGCTTTCTCTGTATTTCTCTATGGATTCAAGACTGCCAAAAATTTCATCATTTAAATTCTTTATTTGTTCCATATGCAGAATTAGAAAGAATAAGATAATAGTCTGTCTCTCCTACTTAATGCTCCTAAATCTAAGTGAAAAACTATATGCATTCATTTTTTCAAAGTTTAATTCTAAAATTTATTTAATGTACACAAGAGCAGCAGACTTCAAATATATTATATAAATCAAAAATTTAAATTGCAGAATTGTGTTATGTAACTTTGAACATATTAACTTGGGCCACAATAGAAGATATATAAATACCCAATAAAAATATACAAAATGCTTAATATCATTAGTTATCAGGGAAATGCAAATTACATAAATAAAATATCATTATACACCTACTAAAATGGGTAAAATTATAGACTAACAGCACCAAGTACTGATGAGGAGGCAAAGCAACTGAGATTCACATATACTGATGATGGGGGCATTATTTTTATATTGAATAGTTAAAGTATATGCTGAAGCATTCAGGAGTAAAGATGGATTATACCTGCAAGTTTTTTGACATAAAGTATATCAGAATAACTTAAGAGTAATGAAAGAGAAATGGATGGATTGAAACATGTCAAAATGAACATAATAAAATCTAGGTGACAGGAGATGTGGGTGATTACTGCACATTGTTTTCAAATTCCAAATATATTTCTTTTTTTTTTTTTTTTTTTTAAACAGGTCTCACTATGTAGGTTCAGGCTGGCCTTGAACTCACTAAGTAACCTAGGCTAGCCTTGAACTTGTAGTGATCCTCCTGCCTGAGCCTCCTGAATCCTGGGATTATAGGCATGTGCCACCATACCCACCTATCATTTTTTTTAATTAAATGCTACAAAAAACATTTTAAAAAAAATAATGACACTGATACTTCTACCTAAGCATATACAAGTTGAGTATCCCTTATATGAAATACCTAGAACCAGATTTGGACTTCAAAACATATGCACATATATAATGCATTATGTTGGAGATGGGACCCATGTCTAAATATGAAATTTATTTACATTTATATATGCCTTATACACATAGCCTGTTAATTTTATATAATACTTTTTCTGTATCTGTGTCTTTACTACGACTCGTCACATAAGGTTAGATGTGGAATTTTTTTCTGATGTTAGGTCAGCACTCAAGATATTTTTAGTTTTGGGGCCATTTTGAATTTTGTATTACAGATGCCTAAAGAGAGAGAGAGAGAGAGAGAGAGAGAGAGAGAGAGAGAGAGAGAGAGAGAGAGAGAGAGAGAGAGAGAGAGAGAGAGAGAGAGAGAGAGAGAGAGAGAGAGAGAGAGAGAGAGAGAGTGTGTGTGTGTGTGTGTGTGTGTGTATTTAAGAATAATCTCCCCTTTTTTGGATCAAGCATCAAACTTCAAATTAAAACAAAGCAAGTAGATTTAAATTATCAAAATGATATTTTGCAAACTTTGATGTATGAGAAATTTGAGTGATGTCTGAGGAATCAGAAATTATAGATATAGTATATACAGATCTTACTCTGGTAACAGGGAAAATAAGCTGCTCTCATGGACAAATTGTGTTCTACAATGTCAGTTATCCATCAGTTACTTGGAGCTTGAAATACATTATCTCACAGAGTAAATTTACAAATACACAAAAGTTTAGTTAATAAATAGAACCACAGTACTATAATAGTACACTTTGGGAAAATATTTCTGTTAAAAAATGTGTTCAGTGTTCTAACTTGTCACGCTGATATTTCTTTTTACTTCATAGGCAGGTAGAAGATTCTTAATATTCTAAGTTTCTCATGATGAATCAGTATATAAGAACTCCAGGAGAAATTGAAGCACAGTGAAAAGAATGCGTAAAAGCAATAAGGAGCCAGTTACGATGGCAAATGCCTATAATCTCAGCATCCTGGGAGGTGGAGCCAGGAGAACCCAAAGGCTGAGCCCAGTCTGGGCAATTTAATGACTTAAGTCACACCCTATCTCAAGAGAAAAACCAAAAAAAAAAGCTGAAGACATATCTAGTACAAAGGCCCTGGGTTCAACCCTTGATACTAGGGCCAAAAAATAAAATAGCAGCATTAAGTAAAGAGTCTGGCAGGATCAGAGATAGTCAAGTAAACTCTAGATGCAAGAAAAATGAGAAGACAACTAAGTTGACCGTTGGTTAAAGAAGGAGAAAATTAAATTTTGAAGACCGAAACCACATAAATGGCAAGGAAATAGAGATGATAAAAGATGATTTAACTATAGAAAACTAAAGTTATAATGAGTTTTGAAGTAAAGGCAGGTAAGTTTAGCAGGATGACTGAGTTGGTTTACATGTTAAAAGAGTATGTGAAATCTGGTGAAGTATTACCACAGTTTGAATAGGTCCCACAAAGTTCATGTCCAGCACATTCATATACTTACAGAAATAGGAAATAGGATCTTTGGGATGTAACTAAGATTAAAGAAGGTCATTGATGCTGGAACCCCAATGAAGCTTTATAAGGAAAGGAAAAGAGACCTGAGCTAAGGTGCTTACACTGTGTTTTACCACATAATGTTGATGCTATACTTTTGGATCCTTCATCCTCCAAAACTGTGACCTAAATAAATTTCTATTTTTTTGTTAAATTTTCAAATATTTGGCATGTTGTTATAACAACAGAAAATGGATTAAAACAAGTATTTAACAATTTGTCTATTGGGTCTTCATAGAGTATTTGGTTATCCACAAGGATAGTGGAAATAATTATAAAATACAACAAGATAGGGCTTTTTACTCAGATGGTAAAACAGAGAAGCCTCTGGGAAAATACTGGCTAGTGGCAAGTCTATGGTTGAGTCTATGGCATTTGTATAGATTTTGTATTTAGGGTTATATCAAGGCAAAAAGAAATGCTTAAGTAAATTTTTTTGTTCTGTTTACTACTATATTCTTTTCTATGCTGTACCTTCCATTATTTTATGAAACAAAAACAAGATAACCACTGAGTAAAAGGTAATTATATTATCTTACAAAAATAAATTTTTGCTCTTTATTCCACATAAGATAAAATGTGTATAATCCCTATTTTTAATAGGGACTACTATTATGTTTGTTATGTAACAAACTTTATTTACATATATAATTAACTGGTAAGTTTTGCTTTTATTTTTTATTTTGTTTTGTTTTTGAGAGGGGAAATATACACCATGCTTCATTTTTCTTGAATGGCCACAGTAAACATTAGTATAGTGACTTATAAATAGTTAATAAGTTTTCCTATACTGAACTGAATTCAATACTGGCTATTTCCCATAAACTATTACAAACTTTACTATGTTTTAATAATTTTATATAAATTCCTTTGGTTCTAAAAATAACAATAAAGAGCAGATTAATATTTAAATTAGATGCTTCAATAGTATACTTGAAAAACACTTTAAATTTTTCTTTTTGTATGTTATCAAGCGACATGGAATAGCATACCTGCCCATGACCGGAATGTTGCTATGATTCCCATTTTGCTGGCTAGAAACCGTGCTTCTCTGTCTTCTCTGTTGGGAGTAGGATGGGTATAAAAGACAAAACATTAGAATAAAGTGAGCAATTGCTGCTACTTTATCAGCAGCAGAGCTATCATTAATGTTTAAATATTTATACATTAAATAAAAATGTTAACAGAAAGCAGATGTACTCCAAATTCAATTACCCAAGTATAAAATAGACCTCAATTTAAAATTCACGTTTCAAATAAGTTATAAATTCTGCTTTTCTATTCAGTTGTTCCCTGCTGTTTCTGAAAACTATTCTTAGAAGAATTCTAATTAAACATCAGTGAAAAGCACTCTGCTTCTTAAATATTTGTGTTGCAAGGTTGCCCCTTAACCAAGAAAATAACCATCTGCATCCTCTTCAAAATCTTTCCCTCAAATGTATTCCAACATTTCTAATAAGCAAATTCAAAGGTAGAGATAGTGAAATAAACAAATTACCAGCCACTTTCTTCCTTGAAATTATGTATCAAACTGTCTCACTTGTTCTTTCTGTACAATATTATGACCATTAAGCAACAGAACTATTTTATTCATTTGGTGCTGGGGATTGAACTCAGGTCCTTGCACTTGCAAGGAAGGCAGCAGAACCACAGAGCTAAATCCCTGGCCCTAGAACTATTTAATTTGTTAAACATTCTTCATTACTGATCAGTTTCAATGCTTTATAGTAATCTGATAATACTTTATAATCTTCCAACCACCATGTTTACCCTATTAACTGTTAATTATTTTTTCCCTCTGCCATAGTATTTTCTTTCCCCAAATCCTTTTTTTTTTTTTTTTTTGGTACGGGGATCTAACTCAGGCCCTTGCACGTGGCAAGGCAAGCGGCAGAACCACTGAGCCAAAATCCCCCGCGTTCTCCAAATTCTTAATAACATATAGAAATTCAAGGAATAAAGGTCAAGGTGTGGGCAAGAGTACAAAAAAAACAAAAGAAGCTTTGTAGCACCAGTCAAAACAACGCAAGAGAAACTAACATGGATCAGGTACCTGTGTGTCTAACTCTTCAGTGTTCCTTCTCTTAAAAATATTGATAACATACTTATATTGATTGCATGGTAAAACATCTCTGACCTATTAGGATAAATATGGAACATTTTTCAAATCACTTACTTCCTTCTTCATAATGTACCTTTATACTTGACTTGCTATCTACTGGTTCAAACTCTAGAAAAATAATGAAAGTAAACTAGAAAAAATCAAATAGGAAAGAAAGAATTTTGGTGGACTATCTTCTACCTCTCTGATAAATATCTAGGTTCACCTCTTGTTCATCATGGTATGCTGAATGCTAAAAGCAGCCTTGCTCCAGGATTCCATGCCCTTATCTCCAGATGCTGTAAATATGAGTTATCACTGCCATGGCTGTAATTATGTTTATGTTATATCACTTAGTAGAGCACAACATAGGGAAATTGTCTGGCAGGCTTGATCTAATTGAAAGCTTTCTTTAGCTGGTAGCAGAACAGGAAGCTGGAGAGAATCGGAGTGCTAGAAGAATTTCAGACACTTTGCTGCCTGTGAAGATGAAGGGGGCCATGAGTCAAGGAATAGGTGACAACAGTCACCAGGTGGTAGCAAGAGAGACTTGAATTATTCAACAAAGGAAGTGAATTTTGCCAACAATCTAAATTAACTTGGAAATAGATTCTTCACCTGAGCCTTTGCTATCCCAGACTGGACCTACCAAACTGAGATGCTATAGTAAGACATTATGCTTATAGTAATTTTCTGGACAGCAACAGATAAATCATATGTTCTCCACCAAAAAAGAGAATGTCTAAATCTTATACAAAGTCAAAAAAGAAGCTTAAGAATTCCAATTCATAACTAAAGTTAGCAGGAATAAATGTGAAAAACCCCTTGGGATTTTTCCCTGCCTAATACTAAGGATATAACCCAGGGAACTCTACCACTGAACTACATCCCCAGCCTTTTTTATTTAAAGGTCTAATTTGTGCAATCTGGGCTTGAACTTTAGATCCTCCTGCCTCTGCTTCCTGAGAGGCTGTGATTATAGCCATGTGTGTGACCTCATCCACTAAGAAGTCTTAAACACAACATGTTTGTTTTGATTAGCTTAGGTCCTGATTATGTTAAGAGTGTGATAATGCACAGGAATGGATGTGAAAATAACAAAAACATTATTTTTAATTCAGAAAAACAATGAAAAACAACAATCCCAGCACTCTGACGGGCAAGGCAGAAGGATCACATATTGGAGACCAACCTGGGTTAACTTAGGATCTTTCTTCAAAATATAAATAAATTAAATAAATAAATAAATAAACAAACAAACAGGTGGGGATGTAGCTCAATGCAAAGACCATGGGTCCAACTCCTACAACCACCAAAAACAAACAAACAACAACAACAAAAAACACTTTACGTATATCATTCTCCTTACACAATGTATAAAGGCAACTCTTCAATCTACTGCGTGTGATTACTTCATTCTTAAACCTCTCAATGCAATTATGCTAAAAATAAATATAACAGGAAAACAAAGACCTAAGCCTCAACTAAAGTATATTACATATATTGAAATATATTCAATATATATATTGAAATAAATTAATCTTACAATTTCCCAAAACTTTCCTAAAACTTTTAAACTATAGTTAATTGTAAGAGAAATCTAATTCCATACAAAAGAAAATTTAATTAAACTCATAATTTCTCTGGCTGTATATGCAATCAGTACTGGGATTATAGACATGTCCCCCACCACACTCAGTTACATGTAAAGTACTGAGAATAGGAATAACAGAAAAATAGATGGGGATATAGTAAAGATTTTTTTTCTACAAATGCTTCAAGATTAACACATATAACACCTTATACATTATTAGGAATCAATAATACTTACTTGAGCTGCCCTTCAGCTGTATCTGGACTATGTCTGTAGTGAAAATCAGTGTAGGGTGCTAAAATTCGCTAATTTTAAAAAATGTAAAAGGAATAAGAGATTTTATTATTAAAAAGCATTCTTCCTGTAACAAGGCAAAATTAATTTGAGTTCTTTTCAAACTCAAGAAATGAATTTTTTAAAAAAGCACAAATTCTATTTTTAAACTTTTAAATTGGGTATAACATATCTAAAACAGTGTAGATATTGGAACCAAAATGCCATTTTCTCCAGATTTGGCTTTCGGTTTTTTTCTTTCTGTCGACTGAAGTACTGCTACTTTCTATTATTTCTGTTGGAAGACCAACTGCCAGACTTATTCCTTTGAAAGTATCTTTTTTTTCTTGAGCTGTTCTCAAGATTTTTAATTGTCCTACTTTTCTTCTCTCTTATACTTTACTACACATATTTTTATTAATCTTTCTTTCAGTTTACTAGCAATATCTTTGACACAACTAAACTTTTGCTTTCACTAATTTTTTTATTCTGGTTATTACATGTCTCAGTACAAGAATTTCCATTTGATTCTTTTTGCATATCTAATAATATGGTGAAATTCTTCTTTGTGTCACCCAATTTTTCCTTTTCTGTAAATTAACCATGGATGGTTTTGAAGGGATTTTGTTTTGTTTTGTTTTATTTTTTCCCCTATCTGGATTACCAGTAAATATGTTTCTATGGAATGTTTCTTCTTTTGGGTTTCTAGACAGATGGTCATGTCTTTCTGCATGACAAGAAATCTTTGACTGAATATCAGACTGTGTATCTTATTAAAGGATCTAAGTGATTTTATCTTCCATCAGATAGTTTACACTTTCCTCTCCCAGAGAAGTAAAGTGGGTGATAATTTTATCTTCATGATCAATAGAGTTAAATTGAGGCTGCACTGCAATTTTAATAAAATTTAATATACCTATATTTTCCTGTGTTTCTAATTATGTCCTTCTAATGATTTCAATAGACCTGTTTTTCTCCTTAGTAGAAACAAATTGAAATTTTAAATTTTATATACACTTTCCTCTCCCAGAGAAGTAAAGTGGGTGATAATTTTATCTTCATGATCAATAGAGTTAAATTGAGGCTGCACTGCAATTTTAATAAAATTTAATATACCTATATTTTCCTGTGTTTCTAATTATGTCCTTCTAATGATTTCAATAGACCTGTTTTTCTCCTTAGTAGAAACAAATTGAAATTTTAAATTTTATATATATATACTAACTATAAAATATCTAGCTTTGTCATTTAGTACCACATAATGGCCACAAGCTCTTCTGATTTTTCTGATCCTGGCAAAAGCCCACCTGGATTTTCTGTGACCAACAATATACTGAATAGCAAGTGGCTCCAGGAAAAAGAGCTATAAATTATCAGAAACAGACAACAGGGTAAACAAAAGGAAAAGAAGTTTTAAACAATTTAATTAACACAATCATTTTTAACAAAAGGAAAATGTGAGGCTATCAAGAGAGACAACAGCATTGCAAATAGTTTCTTTACAGAAAAGAAAATCAAAGTACACATTTGGAATGTAGGACTGATAAACTATAATGAATAAAATAAGGACTATTTTCTCAATCTCAGATTTACAATGACAAAAAAGTATAAGATAATGACAAATAACATCCAAGTAATAGAGTTCCAGCTACTCGGGAGACTGAGACAAGAGGACTGCTTCAGCCCAGCAGTTCAAGGCCAGCCTGAGCAAGACCCCGTTTCAAAAACAAAATAGTACAAAATAAAACAAACTCAAAACCTAAAAAAAAAAATAATTGTAACATTTAAGACAGGTTTCCTAAAGTGATTATTATAAAGACATTAGGGAAAAATATTTTTGTCTTACATAATTTCATGATTACATACAAAAATTTCCTTGATTTAAGCTGTGACTGTCATCTTTAATGGACAATTTAGTATACTGACAATTAAACTTTTAAGAATACAGTATGTGATAATTCTGATCCAACCTCCATGCAACATGTGGTTCATAGGCTGCTTGCCTTTTTGAGATTATACTAAATATTTTAAGAAGGAGGTTCTGCTGCTTATATACATTAATTACATATTTTACATGTGGCCCAAGACAAGTTTCTCTTCACTCAGTATTGTCCAAGCAAATCAAGTTTGGGTACACAAATTCAAAAATATACTATGTGAGTTAGTAAAATAATTTAAATTGTTAATTATTTAAAGTATATACTTTTAAGTACATATGACACATGCTAACAAAGTGGTTCCAAATTTAGAAAATTTTAGTATGGTTTAATGAATAAATAGTATATATACCAGTATATATTACCAAGAGAAACTTGCAAATTATTGACATACTGATATTCTTAAAAACAAATGATGTTAATTACACAGGTAAATATAACCTAATCATCTAACTTGCTCAGTAAACTTTACATGGATAAATGAAAACAAACTTTACTTTGGATGTGGATGAAATATTTTTGATGATGCTATTTTCAATTCATTCCAAACTGAATAAGCTATAAAGCTGAGACTCTATTTCAAAATTTCAAAGAGTACGCATTTTAAATCATATTTTGTAACTTAGAAATGAGTACTGAAGTTCCTACCTCTAATTCTACATCAGCTCGCACATACTGCCGGGTCTTTGGATGATTAAGGAGGTGCAGAATTGTAGTAATGAGGGCCTCATTTATTCGACTTAATTGGCAATCAATCACATTTTTCAAGATGGTATTTAGTCCACCTCTTAGGGCAACCACCTCTGGATTCTGAAGTGCTAAAAGAGAAAAACTTAATATATTATCCTAGGGGTAATAAAAACTAATCTGAAATCTTGGCTTTTACTTTAAAACAATTTGTCCTCTAACTTGAAAATATTTAATGTTACTTAAAAGAACAAACATATAAAGGATATCTAGTAAGAATCACTGAATATACTTACCTAATATTTGATTTTTTTCAAATGTCACTGAACCGTCTTTTTATAACCTTTGTCTATATTTTACTGGACTTTCTTTACTCCTCTCCATTGCAGGGAATTCTTTTTACAACCAAGATAACTGCCTTTATCTGTTTCAGTTCTCTTCTAAGTTTTGTAATTTAATTTTGGATTATTGTTTAAAATGGTGTATGTAATTCCTCTGTATTTTTATAACACACACACATAAATATATGAAAGCACACACCCATCCATTTTTTTCTCTCAAATTTAAGTTCAGAAACTACTTTTATTCCAAAGATCAGGAATTTTCTTTGCATGTTCATGCATAATCATGTATGTGTTTCAAAGAAGTTCATGACTTAAATATTTCAGTTTTCAATGTGTCGGGAAGTTGAGTATCATTAAGATGATGAACATCTTTTGCCCAAACATTTACTCATTATCCCAGCACTCTTTTTCTCAAACTGATTTTTACACTTAATGATACAATAAGATTTTCTATAGTCAGGGTCTGTAATTCTTGATTTTTTTTTTTCAGTTGTTCTCTTAAAAACTCAGGTTTAATAATATGGATATAATATATATGGACATAGTATATCAGTATATACAAAAGAATTATGCACTTCTTTTTGAGTCTTTTTAGAGGTAACTATTTCATCAACATTTTCAACTACTTCTATGATTTATTGATCTATCATGCTTCCTCCTAATTTTGGAAATTAATAATAAACCTCCATACCTATTTATTTTAGTAAGTTTTCAAATATACATTAAATTTATAATTTTTAAAACTCCTAAAATATTCTCTTCATTTCTACATTATCTTTTGTTTTCTAACTTTTGGGTTTTCCAAACATAAATGTATATTTCATATTTTTCTTTTTCCAACTAACAATTGTTATGAATTATGATAAGTAATCTAGCCTGTTCTCTAATTACGGCTTTAAAGTTTACTGTTGCTTTCTCCTGCTTACCATGTAAATAATTTTTTCCCGTTTCCTATTTTTTTAATTATAGCCGTTTGCCCACTTACTTTGTGCTTATTTATAAAAGCACTTTATAAATAACATTAACTATGTATACAGCTTTCCAGGTATCCCATTCATTGACACGTAGTAAAGTTTTTTTCTATGTTCTAAATTTCCTTAATCATATTTCAAAATCTGTGTAAAACCAAGAGGCATTGTGGACAGTACTTTAAAATCCTCAGTGGTAAAATTTAGTTCTTCTCAGTATAAATTTCTTTTTATCATATAATGTGATTAATGTTGAAAGGCTAGACTTCAAGAGACTATTATAATTAAGGATTTTAGGCAATTCATACAGTAACTTTCATGATGAGTAAAACTAAGGTTTACACAATTTTAATATCACTTTTTGAAAATATTTTTTGAATAACAAGTCTACTTTCCTATCAAAAATATACCTTTTTAAATATTACATATTAAAAGCACTACAAAATATTATATATATTCTTTATAAAACACTATTTTATTACTTGAGGAAAATTCTGACCTAGTTCACAGATAATGGCAATGCATGCTCGGACCATTCTGTCTCTTTCTTGAAGTCCATCATTTCCAACTGCAATTAATGAGTTGGCCACAGAACTAGGAAACAAGGAAGCATTCACAGTAATCATCTGTAACAAAAAAAGGACAAGAAAAGGAAGTTATTTACCTTATAATACAGTGTTTATTTTTATTCTGACTAAGGTAGTTTTAAGACCATAAAATATTTATAAATCCAGCCACTATTTACCTTCTGGTTTCTCAAGGATATTTCAAAGAATTACTATAACTAATAACTGATGCAACAAATGTTAATAATCATTACTATGGAAAATGTTTACTTTTTTCTAATAGTCAAGACTATAAATTATTTGAACAAAAAGCTTTAGTGTTTCTAAGATTCTAAGTTACTCTAGAATAGGAAGTGTATCTTACATAGTTTTTCAGACTGTAAACAAAGTAACTCAGTAGTGACAATAGCAGTCAATATACTACTACGCATCTACATCCTGATTCTTTCTTCATATACAATGACCATCAATGTTTCAAAGTACCTCATGAACACCTTTTTTCCTATATCTGTCTTCTACCAATTAATTTAAGCTTTTATTCATTCTCACTTTGCAGCAATAGACTCCAATGAACCCCCTAAACTCAACCCACAGCCCCCATCAGTAATTTGTTATTATTCCAATAGGCAAAATTAATTAATCATAACTTTTTTTTCAGCTTTAACTGAGTTTATTGGTACATTTTAGGGATACAGTACAGTAACATTCATTGTTGGGATCTTGCACCTCTACATGACAGGTCTTGGTTCTCATTTTTTCCCCTTGTCCCTGCCCTCCTTTCACCCCCCTCCTGCCCTCCTCATTTACAAACACTTTATTTCCATCTTTTCATTATCTCACATTTTTTTCTTTTCCCTTATTACACTTCCCCTACCCATTCCAATATCACAAGTCACAGGGTGTTGTGGGGGTTTACTCCTATACCAGCTTTTTAGGAGGCTGAGGCAAAAAGGCTACAAATTCAATGCCAGCTGGGCAACTTAGTGAAAATCTATTTCAAAATAAAATGCAAAAAGGGGAGAGGATGTAGCTCAGTGGCAGAGCGCATGCCAAACATATACAATGCCCTGGGTTGAACCATAGTACTGAAAAAAAAAATCCTGATGAAAATAGCACATTATCTGGTGATGGAAATTAGGATCAATCTCACTCAGAACAAAAGACCTAATTGGCTATAATACAGTGCATTTGGAATACTGAACAGACAACATATACCTATAATTTACAAAATAGAAAACAAGTAGGTAATCATTTCTTAATAAAGACTACTTAACAGACAATATATTTAAAAATAAGTTCCTACAGTGACAAAAGAAAAAATTTTCTTTATTTGGGTAGTAAGGAAATTAATCCATCTTGGAATTTACAGAAATTATACGCCTGTTAGAAAAAGAAAAACTTATGTAATGAAACAATTACAGGACATGATAATTAAATAAAAGATATACCGTACAATTAAGGATTACAGGGGATCAAAGTAAAAATCTATACTGGTTAGAGTAGTTATAGGTAGTTTATTTTGTTTAAGCAGAATTAGGTGATATTACAAAGTTCAGCTAAAATTATAGAATATAATTTCACAATCATAAAATCAGTATATTTTTAATCATTATACAATCTAGGCAAGCTTCCATATCTGTTTTTACCTTATTAAAGGAGGAGGGGAATAATAGAAAACTGATCTCCCTGAATGAAAAAATTCTAATCTCAAATTAATTTGTATTTTAATACTTTCAGTCTATTACTGGGCTTGTACGGAGTCTAGAAGAAAATTTCTTCAAACTTCAGAATGCATGTGAAATATTCTGAAAAGTGTTGGCTAAAAAGCCAGACAATTGGCTTTGAGAACCATGCTATTGATAAATTATGTTACCTTCGCCAAATCAATCCTCTTTGTGTCTCAATTTGCTTATTTAGAAAATAAAGATGTGTATGAACCTATGGCTTCTAGAATTTCAAGCACAGTATAAAATTTCTACCTTAGGAATTTCATGTGTCTATTAACATACAGTATTTAATTATATAGACTGTGTTATGAAACAAATACATAAAATTTGCCTTTTCAAAAAGTGAAATGATTAATATGTGCAAAGAACCTCTTAATTCTAAAATCAGAGAATGCTTTTCTCATAAATCAAAGAATATTCAAGGGAGAAGACACAGAATTCCATCACTGTTGTATGTGATCTCTTCTGGCATAATAGGGCAGACATATACGAAATAAAGATAAGGACTAGGTAATAAATTTATGGAATACTACAAAGGATTTAGTTTTTTGTTTGTTTGGGTTTTTTTTGTGTTTTTTTTTTTTTTTTGGTACCAGGCATTGAACTCAGGACCTTGTGCTTGCTAAATCCCTGGCCCAGAAGTCCTTAGTTCTTTAGGAGGAATTTCTAAAATTGGAGCTGAAATTGGAAGATGAATATACTATAACAAGGGGTGGAAATGAAAGGAACAGGAAGAAAGCAACAACTGTAGCAGTGATGGTAGTTCACCTGCAAGTACAGCAGCAACAGTAACACAGGTTAGACAGAAATAACTACTTAGACCAAAAGTGAGTTCTGAATGTCAAAGTAGGTAGGCTGTAGTTGATGTATGTTTGCAATATAGAGTTTCTCTGCTCTAGCTTCGCAACTATCTTGCTGTGTACAAAGTTCATGTGATAACCATCAAATGAAATTCTTACCAACTGTAAAAAAACTGAGGTATTACTAATGCCTAAAGTAAATAAAAAATTATGAGTGAAAAAAATAGTGGCTTAAATTAGTAAAGTAATAAAATTTAAATAGGAAAAAGAAGATAGTAGCAACAGATGACCAGTGGGAAAATTACATGGAAAATTTATAAAATTGGAAAGGACTGCCTGGATAGAGTAGGAAAGAGGTTAAAAAAAATTAAGATACTGACAGAAAAGAGCAGAGAAAATCCTCCAAATTAATGAAGATAGGTGAAAGAAAGGAAAAGCAACATGAGTTATCATAGAGTAAGTCATCCTATAGCAAATAATTTTTTCCTTTATATTAATAATTCAATAAAAAGTTTCAACACTTTTTTTGAATGCATAAAATAAAAACTCACAGTAACATTACTATTTCAATTGTCAAAGTATTCTTGTAAATAAAGAAACAAGTACCTTCATATGCTAAAAGTAATAGTGAAATTATGTTGTCTCTGGCCCATAAAGGCCACTGTTTATTCAACAAATATACTTTACCTTTAAGTAATCCTTTTAGCTAAACCAAGGAGATATCCTATTCGAGCTACAACTCCTCCTTTGAGCCTCTATCCTACCAAGTTTGAGCAGTTTTCCTGCTCCTGGATTTAGAAATGATATGTGACTCAAATTACCAATTATCATAACTAAATATGATATGATATCAAGTATATTTATCAAATATGATAAATGCTATTTTTAAGAGTCTGCTTACTTTTACTGAGCTAGTTTATAAATTAACTTTTGACTTGCACAAGCTGGGGATTTGGCTCAGTTTCACTGCCTGCCTCACAAGCTCAAGGGCCCAAGTTCAATACCTGGTACCAAATAAACAAACAAATAAATAAAATAACTTTCACAAAATATTTTAGCACATCAAAATGAAATACTTAATAAACAATTCAAAGAAGCTAAATTTAATTCTTCAAAACTTTTTAAAATTCTTTTGAAAATAATTTCTAGGACAGCAATTCTCAATGTGAGCCAGAAAATTCTGAGGCTCCACAAAATTATGCCTACTGTTATTTCCATAGCAACAAAGACATTATTGATCTTTTTCACTCTTACTCTCACACAAGTTTATACAAAAATTTTCTAGTCTCTACTGCATGTGATAACACAACTGACTGAATGAGGAAGCAAATACTATAAGCACCTTGCTGTTTTCTATCAAGACATATATGAAAGAGAATTACAAAAATTGGAAAACACTAGTTTTCATGTTATTCATGTTTACATATAATAGGTTTATTGTAATTTGTATATATTAATATATATTTTAGTCCCCCATAAGATAAATATTGGCATATATAACCTAAAAATTCAGAAGTTGCTTTAGGTTCTTTAGAAACAAATTGTGTTTCTTTCTTTTAAACATTCATAGTATCAGGAGGGACTGCAGGAATAAATTAAAACTACAGATCATGAAAAGCCAATCATATCTCGATATAACAGTTTACTTATAACAAAATCTATCTCTAATACTGTTACTAGAGCTTTAAATCTCTTTTAAGACTTAACTCATCCATTTTCTTGTTTTTCTCTATGGCCAATTATGGGTACAATGTATAACCAAAAGGTAGCCAAGTGGAAGAAAAAGAAAACCGAGGGAATCTAGTTAATACACTAACTCAAAAGTCCATCATTCTGGGGCATGCAACAAATTCAAAGGTAGGGAAAGAGGAAAATAATTCTCAATTATTGTTCTGTTGCTTGGACACTGGAGTATCACATTAAACACCAAAATAATTCAGGAAGGCCTCTCATGACAAGCTTTGTAAGTTATCTTTAACACTCTTTGTTGAAGAGTTTAAATTATGACCTCTTATTCTATACAATGACTATTTATTACAACTGCCCATGAATTATATATCCAAATTCATCTTTAGAACAAGCTTGTAACTGCTTGTGACAACTATGTAATACTTTTAACTACAAGCATACAATCATGAGACAGTCAGGAGGGGGAGCAAGTAATCTCTTTCTCTAATAATTTATCAAAGCAGAAATTACATTTGCATTTCTACTGAAGAAAACAATATGCTTTATAAGAATATTGTCCTAACTATCCCCAATCACACAACAGTTACACGAAATATTTATGCTTATCTCAAACTTTAATAGCTTTAGTTAATTCATACTTAGCAAAATAAAAATGTTTAATGAAATTTAGGCTTTGTATTTAATAGATTTCATAACAATCTATATTTAACAGGAAAACCATAAATGTGCCTTTACTCTTATATAGAGCATACCTTTCTGACTAATCGAAGTGCTTGTGTCCTCTCTACCTCGTTGCTCTGCTGAATGTCAATGCACCTAAATAATACACAAAATATTACTCACTGATAAAATCTTAAAAAACAAGTTCTTGTATCATACCATTATGTCCTTCATAATGTCAATATACTATAGTAAAATTTTAAAACATGTTTTTCTATTACCAGCAAATATTTGTTTAGTTAACCTACACACCTCTAAGTATTTATTTTTATACAAACAATTATTTTTTTCATTTAAAACTTCAGGAAACTACAGCACTATCTATAAACTCAAAATAACATCTATACATCAAAATAGCAGAAATCTACAGAAAACAAAATTTTATAGATAAAATTCAGACATTTTATAAAAATTATAAAATAAAAATACCTTAAGCTTGTAGTTTGTGATTTTAACCAAGGCTTAAAGTTTATATATTAATTCTCTTATGTAATACCCACAAAAATTCTACTTTACTACAATGTAACAAGTTCTAAATTATCTTCAAGATTAATAATTGGTCAACTATCACTTAGTTGACATTTCTTCGTAAAATTTTTTGATCTAAGCTGAAATAATGTTTTATATACGGCAGGGCAATGTTTTATTTCAAATTTCTGTTTAGGCAGTTCAGTCCAATACTGAACTGTATTACTACTGAAAACTCATTTTTGTCTAAATGCTATTAATCTAGAGCAACACTATTACAAAGTAAATGGGGCCTATTACAAAGTAGCTACCAGTGGCAGAGTGCTTGACTAACATGTACTAAGGGACAGCAGCTACAGGGTAGCAAATAAACAAAAATAAAAATAAAGTAAATGAACACAGAAGCCCATTTCTAACCATTAACAAAAATACTTAGATCAGACCAACCCTTCTGCCAAAATCAACTATAAAATTGGAAAAATTTTGTAAAACAACTGCTAAAAGGCCAATGGAGAATAACCTTTGAAAAGAAAAAGCATTAAGGGAGTTCTAAGATTCACAGGCTTTGTCCCTGGGGCCATATGTCAACCTCCAGTTTTGGGGACATTCAGTCCTAACAGAAAGCAAAAGCCAGGCTGGACTAGAAAGACAAGAGTTTTAACATCAGGCAAGCAGCCCAAATGTTTGGTGGGGTTGAAGGGCAAATCTCAAAGACAAGAAAGCACAAGGATGTGAGGTAAAATCTGCATGCAATATTCTCTCCAAAACATTTGCCAGATTCTATGTTGTACAAAAGCAGAACAGGACTCCAAGAAACCAAGCAAAAACGCTACTCAAAAAAGCAAAGTAACATAATAGTGATGTCAACCACTACAGCATAGTCTACAGCTTAGGGTTCAAAGGCTGCCCCAAGGGGAACAAGTTCTGACAAATATTTATACTTTAAATTGATATCCCAAATTGACATTTCTTAGGATCAAAGACAAAAATAAAAACAAGTTTAACAGAATCAGTGTAATAAATCAACACTCCAGAATAAAACTTTACTCTCTTAAAAGGATAATAATAATCTGGAGCCAGTAATCGTGATACCAATGTTCACACTCGAATACTTGGTATGAGGCATGATTTAAAACATACAGGCAAAACAAACAAAAGGGCCAAAGACCAAAAATTAAAAGGTTAAAATGACAACAGAAATAAGAACACAAGAAATTCACATACTGGAGATGTCAGAAGGGACTTCAAAATAACTACAGTTGATTAAAAAAAGAAGAAAAAAGCAGAGATCTGAAAATTTTAAAGAATAAATTAAATCACAAGACAATAATGAAGAAGTCAAGAGACTGATTTATTGGGCCAGGGATTTAGCTCATTGGTACCGTGCCTTCCACTCAAGCGCAAGGTCCTGAGTTTGATCCCTGGTACCAGAAACAAACACACACACACACACACACACACACACAAAGAGAGACTGATTTATTATTAGTAGTAAGATAGACTCAAATATAATATAGTAAGTAGAAAGCAAGCACCTTGCAGAACCACTGCCAAAAGATGGAAAACTACAATAGAAACACCAGAGACATGGGGGATAGTGAAAAGATACAACATGTATAGGTGGACTACTAGAAATCAGGAAAGAATATAACAGATAAAAAACAACCTTTAAAGTAGAAATTGAATAAAAAGATACCATTTACAAAGTAGAGAAGCTATTATCTAATAGTTAAAAAGAAAAGAGAAAGCCAGAAGACAATTTGTAAGATATGAAAAACAATGACTGGAATCAAAAGCAAGCTTTCAGTTATGAAGACTATTTACAGACAAATAGAAGATAAGAAAATCCACCTCTCATACAAAAAAATGGTAAAAGAAATTCATCAAATAGAGAAAGAATGATTCCAAGTTGAAAGCTCAGAAATAAATACAAAAAGGACAAATACTACAATGGGTAAACAACATAAGTAAATAGAGTTGCAACTTAAAATAGTAAATGGACTACTTTGTGGGGGTTGAAACATATGTAAGAAGTAAATCATAACAATAGACAAAAAGCAGACCAGAGAAGACATAAACTGTAAAAGGTTTCTTACATTTTTCTGGGAATAATCAAATCTACTGCAAGAAGTATCACCAAGACACTAATAGAAGAGGGAAAAAATTCTTGATTAAAAAAAAAAAAATACAAGAACAAAGAAACGATGTGACAGACTACATATAGCAAGCTAACAAAATCAAATTAGAAAATTAATAGTGAGATATCAAACTTGTAAAAAATAATTACATTAGCTCTAGTTCAAAAATCATGCACATAGTAAATGACCAGAAATAAGTAGTTTGAATATTTCAATTAAAAAATAAAGAAGTTCAAATGAGATGCTGAAAATAATCTAAGATGTTTTTAGGAGGAAAGTCAAGTGTAAGGATAAATGGGAAAGATTCAAACACTAAGCCAAAGAAAGACAGTGATGCTGTATTATTAGACAATATAAACAATTATGTAAGAAGTACATAAGGAATAAAGAGGGATATTTCATAACTATAAAAAGATTAGCCCGATATGAACACAATTCTAAATATAAATATAATAAAGTTTCAAACTATATAAAGCTTAAGCTGATACAAGAAAAAAAATGACTAGGCTAGGGCTATGGCACTTGCCTGCTAGCATGCATAAGACCTTCGGTTCACTATCTAGTGAAAAAGAAAGATAGAAAAAAAGGTATGTTATATCTATTAAAAAATTAAACCCATACTTTAAACATTTCCTAAAAAAGACCAATGAGAATCAGTGGGGAATTCTAGTAATTATACTGGGAGGAAAAAAGAATCTATGTATCTATATATCTGTAGATATATAAATATACATATATATATATATATACACATATACCTACATATACATACATATATATATGTATGTATATGTATGTATATATAGTTATATGTGTGTGGGTGTATTATAAAACCTCCCAGAGAATAGAGGACAATACTTTTAGATGTTTATAAAATATACTCCTGATAACAAAAATCAAAGATACTAGTGTAATGAAAAGAAAAACAGCAGTAAAACATAGGTGTAAAAATCTGCAAAATATTATCAATTCAGTCATATAAAGGGTATGAAAGCATGAACAAGTGGTGTTCATTTCAAGAACACAAAGTAAAACTGTGAGGAAAATTCACTAAAAGTATTTATACAAAGAATATAAATGATGATGAAATACTGAACATTTTCCACCTGAGTTTAGAAGTGCAACATTCATCATTTCTTTTATCTTTTTGAACTCAGGCCCTTGTGCTTGTGAGGCAGGCAGCGGGGAACCACTGAGCCAAATCCCTGGCCCTCATTAATCATTTCTGTTTAATGCAATATTCTAACAAGTGCAGTAAGGCATAAATATATAAAATGATGGGAAAGAAGATATAGTCATCACAAGCAATGTTTACATACAAAGAAAATCCAATATAATATATGAACACTCTATAAAATTTTAAGTGGATCATGCATGGCTATTATTCCAGCTACTCCAGAGGCTGAGGCAGAAAGACTATAGAAGGGGGACAACAAGTTCAAAGCCAGCCTGGGCAATTTAGTTGGATTTTCTGAAAGTAAAGATTTTAAAATGGGCTGGGATATAGATCAGTGGTAAAGTAGGATCCTGAGTAATGTTAAAAAAAAAAAAATTGTAAAAAAAATTTAGCCTAGGTAAGTATCAATACTTTCCTCTTTTTCTATATATTAGTAGCTAAAAACAGTAACAAAAAATTTTTAAACTATACTAATAACTATTATTTACACAAATCTAACAAAAAAATGAATAAACCTTACAAATAGATCAAGACCTCTGGTTGAGAAAAATTACAAAATTTTGTTAAGAAAAATCAAAATTTCCAATAAATTCTATTTAGAAGATTCAATTACAATGTCCATGCATCCTAAGTCAATGAAATACCTACTGAAATCCTAGAAAATTATTCAGAAATGCACAAAGATTCTAAAATGTATATGCAAATGCAGAACCAAAAAAAGTTAAGATATTCTTCAAGAAGGAAAATTAGAAGATTCACTTAATAATTATGAAGATGTATTGAAAAGCTGAGTAATCAAAATAGTAAAAAACTACTTCAAGAACAGACAGACCATCTAAAGAAAATGGAGAACACTTTGGATTTCATAAATTGGAACTTTTGTTCATCAAAGACTCATTAAAAAAGTAAAATGGGATGTCATACTTGAAGATATTCTCAGTATATATATACCTGCAAAGACTCATTTCCAGAAGACATCAAGAATTCCTACATAAGAAAGACAGATAATCCAATTTACAAATGAGCAAAAGACAAAAAGGATAACCACATTGGCAACAAACAAAAATTATTTAATATCATCACTCATCAAAGGAAATGAAAATTAAAACCAAAATAAGAACCCACACTAAAACAACACCAGTCAGGCTATAACTGAAGACTAAAAACAGCAAATGAACTCTCATACATTGCTGGTAGTATTATAAATCAGTACTATCACTTCGACAGCTACTTAGCAGTATCTACTAAAACTAAACAAATATAATACCCTACGTCCAGGCAATTCCATTTCTAAACATACCTAAGAGAAATGAAGGTACATGTCCACTAACAGACTCATACAAGAATTTTCAGGGCAACTGTATTCAAAATAGCAAAGCAGTAAGAACAATCTAGAAAATCACCAGAATAGTTTAACCATAAAACAAAACACTACACATCCATAAAAAAACCACATGTACATCAACATGGATAAATCTCACAGATGATTAAAGAAGGAAAAGACTACTGTATATTTCCAATGTGATACTCAAGAAATGGAAGAACTAGCTTACGATGGGAAAATTCAGAATAACATTTACTACTAATTGAAGATACAAAGGAGCTTTACTAATAGGCTGAAAATATGTTGTCGTACTTGGATGTATATGTAAAATTATCAAGCTTTACACTTCACAGTGCACAGGCTGAAATACAATACACAACTTTAAAAACATAAACTCTAGGAAAATTACCTTGCTATTAAATAGTCCACTTTCAATTTGAGCACCTTCTGCAGAATACTGGAGTCTTGTATAAGATATCGAAGTGCTCGTAGCCCTGCTGCTCGTACTTCTTTTGCTTCATTCAATAAAGCTAACCGCAAACTGTATGACAACACAGAAAGTTTTATTGCATGAGTTTCAAATACATATAAAATTACTATACAAATTAAGTATCCTCTAATCAAAATGTTTAGGATGAAAAGTGATTCAGATTCTCCAGTTCTTCAGATTTCAGAATAAAGTATATACTGATTCAAGAATTTAATTCTTTTCATGATTCTGGGCACAAACTGAACTGGATGAGAACCAAATCAAATTCAATGGTTAGGCTCAATGTTGACCTTATGGTAAATTTGATTCAGTTCTTGTCCAATTCACTTGTGACCAGCATCAAGGAAAGAATTAAGTTCATGAATAGAGGTGCCACTATATTTGCACAGAATATACCAATTGAACATTTTCAATCTGAAAATCCAAAATCCAAAACTTTTTCAACACTGACATGACACTAAGAACATTTCAAATTTTGGAATGTTTCAGATTTCACATTTTCTGATTAGATATGTTGCACCTACATCAAATTCTCCCTCAGTCAAGATATGAAAAAGGTCTAGTCATGTATGACTTCATTTAATCACATTTTACTTTTATAAAAACCACACAATACAAACCATTGAGACTTCATTTGATGATAGTCAGTTTCAATCAGTGCCTCCTCTGGCACACTGTCAGTCAGGCAAATGTGACTGAATTTTATTCTCTTCCATAGTTCATTTTATATAGGCAATGGGAAATTAAGTACGCTTTTGCCAAGTTCTATCATATGTCTCTACAATCTATTCCCTTTTACATGCCTTGCTGCTCCTACATCTCCCAGAAAAATCACTGGTTTAAAAATATAGAAATGTAACAACACCAGGCTCAGACTAGTGTATCAATTTTTATTTTTTATTAGTGCATGCTTGTAGTACATGTTTAAGTTCCTTTTGTGTAGCTGGTACATACAAATGGCACATTTTATAGTTCCTTTTTTCATCACCCTTCTCCCCACTCCCTCATCCTCCATCTCTTGATCCCTTTCCCATTTGAGAAAATCTATCTCCCTACTTCCTATTATCTACCCTTTACTTTGCTATTTATTTAAAATTTGGGTTTCTCATATAAGAGGAACAATGATATTTAAGTTTGTAGGTCTGATTTATTTCACTTCAGATGGTCTTAAGGTATATCCATTTTCCTATAGATGACGCTTTCTACCACTGTGGTACTCCATTGTGCGTAAATACCACATTTTCTTCATCCATTCATCTGTTGATGGACATACAGGCTGATTCTCAGATTTAGCTATTGTGAATTGTACTGCTATAAACATGGGTATCCACGTTAATATGATGTCTTTATAACTATTTTGGGAAGATGCCCAGAAAGGGAATAGCTGATTCAAGTCAAATTTCTAATTTTAGTTTTTCGAGGAATCTCCATGATTTCCATAGTGGTTGGGCTAATTTACATTCCCATCAATAATGGAGAAGGGTTCCTTTTTGCCCAATAGCCTTGCCAGCATTTGTTATTATTTGATTTCTTAATGATGGTCATTCTTTCTGGGGTAAGATGGAACCTTAGTGCTGTTTGAATTCAAATTTCTCCAAGGGTCAGAGATGTTGGAACATTTCTTCATGTATTTATTTATATTTGTCTATGAAGTGCCTATTTATTTTACTTGCCCATTTTGTGATTGGGTTATTTTGGAGGGGTCTAATTTTTTAAAAATTATTTTTATATTGTAGAGATTAGTCCTTTATCTGAGAGATAGGTGGAAAACATTTTTTGCCCAGAATGTTGGTTTTCTTTTCATTCTGTTGGTTCTTTTGCTGTGCAGAAGCTTTTTAACTCAACACTGCATTAATTCTATACCTCAGGGCATACAATAAGATGTTGTGAAACTACACTCTAGCAGTGTGCTTGGGCAAGTCCAGTTTGTGTAAGTGCATTTTCTATTAGGTATGACACACATATATAGGTACTTCTCATTCTTGGGAAGAAAGTGTGAATCAGTGTGCAAATTTCAGATTCAATTTACAAGTTTAAATTATACAACTCTAGGCATTGGTAATTATATCACATAAAAATCACAACATAAAACTACAGCACTCTTGAATTTTTCTACTTTTTAAGCAGCTGTTTCTACAAAATCAAATCATGAGGTGCAGTATTATATGATTTCACATTTAAAATAGCTAAAATTGAAATACTAAGATTTAGAAGGGATAGGAAAGAGAACTAAATTACACTTACCATATTATGATATCTTCATAGTTAAAGCCCAGTTTTTCTTCACTGTGGCCAATATCACACAGAAGCTGTTTAAAAAAGTGTAAATTCATAAGTTGTGAGTTGAAATATTTATGTACATTATAATTTTAGTCTAGAAAATGTTTTCCTCTAGTAAAATTCTGAAAAATAATAAAATTCTGTTAAAACACAGCTTTATTCCAATCATCTCTTTTTACCTGACCAGTGTTAGATTTCTTTTTAGAAAATGATCATTTTTTTTTATTTTTTCACTCAGTAATTTACTGTTTTAAAAACTGTTCTTTTACTGGTTAGCAGGTTAGCAAAAGTTTATAATATCCATTGTTGACTTATTAGCCTAACAGAAAAGATTCCTTTACCATGTCCTCAATAATGATAGAATTTTACATTTTAACTACACTTTCCCTCTCACATTCCATGTTGTTTTTTCTACTTAGATTTAAGCTCCATAAGAGCTCACCGTTAATTTTTTTAGCCACTCTCTGTTGATGTTTGCTCACATACGATTCTTTTACTACTATTCAACCTTCTCTTTATTTTAGTGGTTCCATAATATAACATTCTCCCTCCTGGCTCAACATACTGACATATTTTGTTGATGGTTTTTCATTTAATTTTAGCCTGGGTTGCTAGTTATAATCCTTTTGGTTTTTCTCTGGAAATGATTTTTTTTAAACTACTTTCATTTGTGATTTTTTTGGATAAACAGAATTTTAGGCTAGCTCCTATTACTTCTAACAGCTTCAGTTTACTCTGTTAGGAGGTCTACCCTATGTCTTATTGTTTCTCTTCTGAATGGCATGTCCTTTTTCTAAGGCTTACTTTATTTTTTAATTTTTGGTTTTCAGCAATCTTCTTACAATGTGTCCACGTGGTTTCCTTTGTAATCATCCTGCTTAGGATAAACAAAACTTCTAAATCTCTAGGTGAATATATTTTATTAGTTTAGAACATTCTATGTATTACCTCTTCAAAATTAATTTGACCCAACTCTATATCCTTCCTGTGGTAACTCAATTACATGTATGTGAGATCTTTTCAAGCAAACCATAAATCTCTAAATTATCTTTGCTATTTTTTTCTATTTTCTTTTATCTCAATGTTTTGATTTAATATTTCCTACCAACCTGTTTTCAGTTATGTTCAATTGTTTATTACATTTATCTAATGAGGTGATTCTGTCCTCCAGTAACAGGGATTGACTCCAGGGCCTTTGCACCAGGGTACATCCCCAAGCCATTATTTTTATTTGAGACATGTTCTCACTAAGTTGTCAAGATGCCCAGGCTGAGTTTGAATTTGCAATCCCACTCCCAAAGTCCTGAGATTTCAGGCATGCATCACCACACCTGGCTTCTAAAGAGTAGAGTTTTTGTCTTGATTTCTATTTAATTTTTTTAGATATTCAAATACTTTATTGAAAATCTTGACTTTATCTATTTTCTTCATAGTTTCATCCATTTTCTTGACATATTAATCAGTTAATAAAAGTTCTTGTCACCTAAATGTATGCGAATGATGTGGATCACCTCTGGGTCTCTCTTTTATTAGCCGTTTTCCTTTTTGTTCTAGTTATATAATCAAACATGTCCTTCTGCAGCTCCTGTAATTTTCAATTGTGTGCACAACTTGCTGAGATTCCTGATGGTATCTTTCTCCATAGAGAGGTTAGCCCTCTCTGTTAGGCTATTGTATAGTGAGTGAGTGCTGAGTTCAAGTTAGGCAGCTCTCCTAATTAGAGTCAAGTTTTAGTTTTTCCTAGCCCCTAACATTTCAACTGAAAGCATGTTGTTAAATGACCAAGTCCAAAAAAGATAACAAATTTAACTTTTAAGATAAAAATACCATAAGCTTCACCTCTAATTTTAAAATGTTTTTCTGCTTAAACTTTCCCATTCTAGGCAGCCCTAGGAATCAAAGAAGGTACTTAGGGGCAAATCTTGTTTGATACACCCTATGGTGTCACCAAAAAACATCTGCTTTTTGTCTTTAAGCAGTAGTTCTCATAGGCATACTGTTTAAAACTCTAGTTTCCTGCAACAGCAGCAAGTATTCCTTAGGCACTACCTCTCAGAAAAGGAATCTCACTTCTATAAAATTTTCTCTTCTCTGAAACTGTGCCCCTCTTCCCCCACACCGAGAAATTTCCTGTAATCTTCAAACAGGCTTACTTAGTTGTTTTCATCAGGAGTACTGGTCTAATACTACTAGTTAACTGGATCCTGCATGGATGATTATAGGCATCTTAAATCTAGGTGTGAGTTTTAAAATTTTTATGTAAAAGTTACATAAAAACTTCCTCAAGTTATATACTTGAGCTAAGTGAAATCGATTAAAGAGAAAGTAAATCATTTAAGTTTTTTTCTTTAATCAACATTAAAGGGCTGGGGATTTAGCTCAGTGGTTCTGGCACCTGCCTTGGAAGCACAAGGACTTGAGTTCAATCCCTGCTACCAAAAAAAAATCCCAAACAAACAAAACATTAAAGACTTCAGAAGGGTATCCAAAGTACTATTATTATGCTAGCTTGACATGAAATTATAAATATGTATTATAACTATACAGAGAACAACAACCTGCCACATGTACCACCATGTGAAAAGAATGTACATTAAGATAAAGCCAGTAAGTAAAACATCCTCTCCCAATTCTTCTTTAGAGGTAAAAAAACCCAAAAACCAAAAACAAGCAAACAAAACAGAACAAAAACAAACATATAATCCAAATAGATTAGGGTGGAGGACAGGAATAAAGTAGCTGTTCTCAGTATGAAAGCAGCATATATAATATTTATAAAATCCTTTGAATTCTAAAATATAATGAAGAGGCTTTAGACTTTCAAAAGAATGTCAATTATTTTCCTCTTATTTTTATTGTTTCAATGAACAACACTACAAGTATTTAAAAACTGAAAGGATGCGTTTTTACAGCTCCATATAGACTTAAAACAGTAAGATTTTCTAAGTTTTAAGAGCAGAATAAAAATTTTCTATACCACTAAAAAAGTAATTTATATCCAAAATAAAAAGGCAAGTAATGTAGTACTCAAAAATATTTGCAACAAACTTAATGGTAAAAGGATTATACCAATATGCTAGGGTTATAACAAACAACACAAACTAGGTGACTTTAAAAAAACTTTCTCTTGATTTGGGAGTCCTGCAGTCCTAGATCAAGGGGTTGGTGGGGTTTTTGTGTTTTGTTGTTGTTTTGTGGTATACTGGGGATTGAACCCAGGGCCTATGCTCTAAACTATGTCCCAACCCCCTTTTAAAGTTTTGTAAAAAACAGGGATTCAATAAGTCTGTATGTTGTACAGGCTGGGCTCAAACTTGCTATCTATCTGCCTCAACTTCCTTGAGATTTCAGGCAAGCAATACCACTCCAGGATTGGGATTGTATACTTTTACAAGACTGTCCTCCTGGTTGGGGATTTAGTTCAGTGCAAGGTAGTCCTGAGTTCGATCCCTGGTACCAAAAAAAGAAAAAGAAATAAAAGACTCTGCCCTTGGCACATAGATGGCTATTTTTGGTGTCTTCTCATGGTCTTCCCTTGCATGTGTCTGTTATAATCTCCTCTTCTTACAAGGGCACCATTCATAAAAATTAGGTTTACCCATATTTTTTCATTTTACTGACTTTACAATGTATCAGTGTTTTAGTTTCTTCCTTGTTGTGGGACAAAATACCTGATAACCACAAATTAAAGGAGAAGAGGTTTATTTTGGTTCACAGTGTGTAGAGGTTTCAATGAATAGTCAGTTGGCTCCAAGGAAGGGTGGTGTGGCAAGAGAGAGCTCACGGCAAGGCAGTCAAGCAGGAAGCAGTAATAATATACAAAGTACACACACAAACACACCCAGGGTACACCCTCAGTACCCACCTCTTCCCACCAGGCTTCACCTCCCAACATCAAACCCAGCTATAAATTCTATCAGGGATGAATTCAATGATGATCTAAGCACCTTCAAAAATCCTCACCTATGATCACATGAGGCTTTGGGGGGACATCTAGATAAAAAATATCAAAATTAGCACTGTAACAGGAACCCATAAGCTAAATTACTAGACACTACACTCTTCACAGGTGTTAGCATTTCATATACCATGTGGGCTTTTTACTTTTGTTTTGTTTTCCTATGAGAGGGCTATTCTCTCCCTTTTAAGATCGAAAGTAGTAAAAGATTATGCATTTTAGATGAGAGGGCTGTTCTCTCCATTTTGATGGAAAGTATCAAATATAATGCATCTCAGTCATATAGAAAGTATTTTTCTGAAGAAAAAAATCAACACAGAAGAAAGTATGACTTAGAGACAGAATATAACTGGCAATAGGGCTTTGGGTCTGGCTCAGTAGCAGAATGCTTGCCTAGTATGTGAAAGGCCCAGAGTTCAATCCCTAACACCAGGAAAAGAAAAAGAAAAAAGATGTAACTGACAATTTTTCAACTCCTGGGTTGTTTGCTTAAAATCAGGATCCAACATCCAGAGTTCAATCCCTAACACCAGGAAAAGAAAAAGAAAAAAGATGTAACTGACAATTTTACAACTCCTGGTTGTTTGCTTAAAATTAGGATCCAACATCTGCTCCTAATTATAGAGGGAAATAACTTTTTACTTTAGTTAAGATAAATTAAGTCTGTTACTTACACAGCAACTTACATATTTTAAGTATTATCAGAAGTCCACTATTATTTAATGAGTATAACATGCTAAATGTAATCTTTTTTTATATAAGCAAAACAAATATTACTTACTAATCTCATTTTTAAATAAGGTTAAGTGCCAGTAATGTGGCTCAGTGGTATACTGCACCTGCTACCATGCACCAGGCCTTAGGTTTAATACCTAGAACCAAAACATTTTTTTTTAAGAAAGAGAGTCAGGAGCAATGGCACAAGCCTGTAATCCCAGCACTCTATGAGGCTGGGATCACAAGTTTGAGCCTGGCCTGTACAACTTAATAAGACCTTGTCCCAAAGTAAAAAATGGGCTGGAGATCAACAATATTATATTCTGAAAAAGTTCAATTAAAGCCATAAATCACTTCTAGGTAATTGAAAATTTTCTGTGATGTTTATTAAAATGACTTTTTAAAGGTTTAATGATATGCTAGACTGGGTATTTCCATTTTACTTATATTGCTCTGAAGGTTCAATGAAAGAGTTCTCCTAAATAAACAAGAGGTAATAACTCAGACTTTAAAAAAATTTATCACACAGAATTTCATAGCACAGGTTTTCATAGGAAATTTAGACAACATTCACAGCAACTACAAAAAAAGACTGATACATACAAAAAAATAAAGCATCCTATGGTATATTAAGATACACAATAAAAAAGCAATATACACATTTAATACACACATACATACTTAAATACTTAAATACATATACATTTATATACATGCATACATATCAAAAACACTGCATCATAATAAACAAAAATAAAATAACACTACATAAGAAACTTCACTTTGTTTAGTTTACATAATTCTCACAACACAACTAAATGAAGCACACACATACACACTCCTATTTAAATTTATAATTATACCAGAAAAGAAATAAGTACTTTCTAGTAGTAAGTTACCTCTAGAAAATGGTATTTTTGGATTAGGGAAAAAGGCAGAAATGGTTAGGAGTATTTTCACTTTTTATTATAAATTCTTCTGTCACTTTTAACTTTTTTAATTTAGCTTAGTACTCTTTTTTACATTAAAAAAAGAGAACAAAATAAAGTATCCAGAGCTTTTACTGCAGATTTAGAAAAAGAGAACTGTTAGAATGTAAAATAGATGAAGGTCTTTAGATTATGAGCATGTTGTCAGTTTTAAAAATAGAATGGTACGATAATATTCATGAGCAGTCTGCTATACACATTACTTTTGTGAAATGATGTCAGAAGGCAAGCATGGTGTGTGATATTCACATGGTTAAAGGATCACATCACTAGCTCTCTCTCTTCATACCTTAAAAGGAGGTTTTTGAGTTGAAGTTCACCCTATACAACATTTTAATGCCCCATCTACTAGGAGGCTTAACCCCAACAGCTAGCCTTATATTTAGTAACAAAACAAATGCTGTGAAAAGGAAATTTTATATTTAAAATGCAAAATTTCCTCCAATAATACAGTTTAACACCTATTATGTAATAAGTTTTGAGGTAGCGACAAATATTAGTTAAAAAAAAACAATGTATTTCTTGTGTTGGAGAAACTGGGATGGTAATCCTCAACAATACAAAATTTAGCAGACATACATATAACCAATGGAAATACGGAGGAGGCTGACTAGCTCCACAGCATCCTGCAATCATTTTTATTTTCTTACTCTAAAAAGTTATTCTTAGCTTTACTTCTGTAAGAATTTCTAAATTTTATTCAATAAAGAAACAAACTTACAGATTTTATAGAAATACTAGCTTAATAAGTCTTTATAAACCCTGCTCTGTAACAGAACAAAATTCAGAGATACCTTATATTACAATTAAATTCAGTAAGCATTTTGTGCTAGTATGTGAATAAACTTTATAATAAAATGCACACATTTATTTATAATAGTGGTTCTTGAGTAGGAGCAATTCTGTCCCCCAGGAAACATTTGGCAATGTCTGGAAACATTTCTGCTTATCACAACTGGTGGTGGGTGGTATGTGGGAAGATACCAGGGACATTGCTAAGCACCCTTTAATGCAAGGGCAGCCTCCCCAAACAAATAACTACCTAGCCCAATATGTGAACATTGCCGACATTGAAGAACACTGATTTATACTAATAGCTTACCAATCTACAGATCAAGCTATTAAGCAGACTTACCATCTTACAGTAAACTTAAAAACAAGAAAAGTGTACAAAATAATACAAAACAAACCACAGATTGAAATGAACTATTACAAATCATATTTTATGTATCACACTCTATACTGAGATCTTGCCACCAAAGGCAGTAATATTATCCAGTAATGAAATCTTCCCACAACTGCCTTGTTGGTTAATCAGAGTTGGGCTGCAAGCCTCCACCTATTTGATCAAAAGCTCATCCTTTTTCCATTACATCACTAAGTAGTCAAAATGATTTTTGTTGAATCCAAAGTTGGTGCATTTTATTCCAGGGACAGCTCCTCAGACCTTGGCTTAGGGAATGGTCTTTCTTACTATAAACAAATTAGAATGAATTTGGCTACCTGGTTTTTAAACCCACAGGTGACTTAAAATAGTTAATTACAGCCAGGTGTGGTGGTGCAGGCCTGTAATCCCAGCATTCAGGAGGCTAAGGCAGGAGGATTGTCAAGAGTTCAAGGTTGGCCTGGGCTACTTAGTGAGTTTGAGACCAGCCAGTCTGAACTACATAGCAATAACGTCTCAGGGAAAAAAAAAAAAAAAAGCTAATTACAGTGCTTCTTTAAGCTGATATCAAGGCCAGAGGAAAATATGAAAATTTTTAAAAATACAAAACATACGAAAGTCAAGGGCTTTAGTTACAGAAGTCACTATATACTCTACAGAAAGTCTACAGTAGTATATGGTTAGGGGTAGAGCTCAATGGGAGACGAGTAACCTAATATGTGTATGACCCTGGTGTCTATTCTCAGCACTAAAGACAACAAACATGCAGTGGCATGACGTAAGAAAAGAAAAAAAGGGACACTTAGGAGGGATACTTAAAAAATGTTTTATACTCATTATGTCAAATGATAATTTTGGATATGAGATTAGTGAAAAAATATTAAAATTAATTTCACAAATTTCCATTTACTTTTATAGTTCTACCATTACATTACTATTAGACAGCACTGCTTTGGATTTTTCAGACTGTTTTATGATTCAACTTGTGCCAGTGCCAGAGTATAACCACAGAAATCACTGTTGTCCTTACAACCAACCCCATCTTTCAGAATGTTAAATGCTAAAATATGTGGAATTACATATGTAGGTGTTAAAACCTGGTTATGACCATAACTGTGAGCTCTAACAGGATAGAGACCTCTATTAAACCTATTTTTAACATTTAAATCTAGGCAAGTGGTAAGGCTAGACTGAAGACTGGCAAAATAAAACTGGGACTTAACACAAGGGAATGAAACTGGAAGATGAATTTTGTGACCTTGGAACAACACTGGTTCTTAAAATTTGACATCTGACCATCACAATGAAAAAAGATACTTGATGATTTCCATTACATTCATAAAAATAAGAACACAGGCATATTTTTGAAAGCGTCTTCTCGTTATATGTAGTTAATTTCTGAAAACTGTTGTTTAAGATATTGTTTTATCCTCCCTCGTATAAAATAATTTTCTCATATAAAAATAAATGTCAGAGTATTCTACTATGAATGTACATGCGCACACACACAACACAACACATTCACAAACAACACACTCATTTGCCACCCCAACTGTAAGGGAAAAGAAAAAAACCTTCAACATATTTTGTATTTATTGCAGAGTACTACACTGAAAAAAACAATTTTGTTAGTGACTATATTCCCCTCTCCTCAACTTTATGAAATAAAGCCAAATCCAAGCCACAGTCCAATTACTTAGCAAAAAGTTAAATATTTGGAAGTATTAAAACAGTGCTGTTTAAATCTCAATGTACACACAAATTCATAGAAGGATTTTTATAATACTAGATTGTGATTTAGCATGTCTGGAGCGGTACCTAAAATTATTTTGCAAGTAAGCATTTTTCAAACAGTTCCAAGGCGATACCAATGCTGTCAGACCATGGATTACACTTCCAGTGGCAAGGGGTTCAAACAGACAATTATTCCTAATTAAAAACAACTTATATTTAGTACCAAAAAGGAGGAAAGAACTGAAGATTTTGATAAAGCAAGTCTGGAGTGGTACCCAAAATAGTATATTTTTAAATAAACTCCAAGGTAATAACCAATGCTGCTAGACTATGCTACTTTAAGCAGCAAAGGGTTAAAACAATTATTAGTATACTAAAAACAATTTACATTTAGTATTTAAAAAGGGAAAATAACTTTATCCCAAAGGGTCCAAACAGTTTTTGATTTTAGGGCATCATCTAACACAATACATATTTTAGTGCTTGCCTGAGTTTGTGGACCAGCACTATGAGGCTTAAAAACATAGCAACCCACATGTCAAACTGGAGAATTTATATCCCTACAATCTACCTCAGGCTCTAATTCAAATATAGATAATAAGAATACACCATCAGGATAACTGAAAGACAATGCTAGTATTTCTGTGGGAATTACGATTATGTCTATAAAATACACCACATATATTATGTACAAACATACTGATACACTATAAGTAAAGAAAGACATATCTAAATATGTGAATAAAATAAATGTGTGAATCTATCATATTTTTCTTAACATATTTTCTATAATAAGTATATAATAATGTTTAAATGCATTTTAAAATTCAAAAATGCATGACAGCCAGACATGGTGAGATACACCTGTAATCCTAGCACCTCAGAAAGCTGAGATTACCTAAGCCCCTGAGTTTGAGACTATCATGGGAAATAGAGACCTGCCTCAAAAAAACAAAACAAAAACACATGACAATAGGACTAATACTGAGTGAATATAAAAAATTTTTTAAACGATGATTATGAAATAACTATTAAGCATGGTAAGGAACAAGGATAACAATTCAAGTTACGTACCTTTGTAAAATTATTCAGATGTCCTAGTTTTCTCATATTTGATACACCTTGCAATTTGGCCACATTTTGGAGTATCTCTCTTAAGTTATCAGAAGGTTCTAGAAGATAAGACAATTTAACATAATTTTAAGGATGTTTCCCTAATCAAACGTATAAAACATTAAAATTCCCAGTATTGGCTCTTGGTTTAAGTTTTACCCTCCACCCAAATCCACTCACTTAGCTGACCTCAAAGTCCATATGGATGACATCCAATTGCCCTTGCATTTCTACTTCACTCATACCTATGCTCTCACTCTGTGTGTCACCTGGAATTACTCAAACACAAAATAATAAATTTCAGCATCTCAACTTTCACTTCTTACTGTAATGTGGCAAAAGGGATCAAATACACCATTCTTATTTGAGCCAACCAAAAAGCTAGGTAAGATATATTAAATTATAGTTTTCAAGACACTGGACATCATACAATGCTTCTGGAAAAATAGAAACACATGTGTGTCCTACAATTTATCAGCTTCTTGCTTTATGAGTTTCCAGGGAGACGACGGATTACTGAAGAGGAGCAGTGTTAAGAAGGAACTCTGGAAATCTAGAAAGGGAGTCCCTCCGGTATTCAGTGAACAATTACCCTTGTGTGTGTGTGAGGAATTAGCCAAGGCCAGGAAAACAATCACTCAAAAGAATTAGAGGAAGAAAACCATGCAGTCACCCAGGTCAAGGAATAGTAACTGTTCCTTAAGAGACATACTGAAACATCTCATGGAAATGAGTACTCAGAAAAGCCTTGACTCAGCAGCGAGGAACCAATTAGATCTACAGACTATAATTATTTCTTTGAGCTTACTTATAAACCTTAAAAGTAAGTTGAAAGAATCAAACTGCTTCCAAATAACAAATGGCCAAAGCTCACGAATAGAAAAAAATACATGTAAATTGGGTGTGGTGGTGCACACCTGTAATCCCAGCACTAGGGAGGCTGAGGCAGGAGGATTGCTGTGAGTTCGAGACCAGCCTGGGCTACATAGTGGGTTCCAGGTCAGTCTCAACTACATAGTGAGACGCTGTTTCGAAAAAATACATATAAAGCACCTAACAAGGCAAATTTTACAATGTTTAGTATCCAGTTGAAAATTATAAGCCATGTAAAGAAGTGAGAAAACATATACCATAATGTACAGAACAATCAATCAAAACTGACGCCAAAACTTGCAGGTATCAGAATTACAAAAAAAAGGACATCACAACTGTTTTTATAACTACAGTTCTATGTTCAAAACTGGGCACATGCACTAAAAAATGTGAAGGCACTCAAATTTCTATAGCTAAAAATTATAATATCTTACATGAAAAAGATTTCAGATGGGAAAAACATAAAACAGTGAACTTGAAAAGGCAATAAATCTAAAATATAACAGAGGTACTTCAAGCAATTTAACATATATGTAAAATTGAAGTTGTCAAATAAGTAAAAAGATACACATAGAAAAACTGAAGAAATAATGGATGAAAACTGTGTATCTGATGAAAACAAGCCACTAAATTCAAGAAATTCAAACATCTCCAAGCATAAGGAATGTGGAGAAAACTAAACCAAGAAACATCATTATCAAACTGTTGAAATCCAGAGAGAAGTAGCCAGATTAAAAAGATAAATTACATAGAAAAGACCAAAGAAAAAAAATAGGGATGACAGATTTCTTGTAAGAAATAGGTGAGAAATACTGGAGCAATATCTTTAAAGTAGTGAAAGGAAAAAAAAGTTTTCAAAATGTAGTAAACATTCTAGGTTCATCTGCTTCACAGAAACAGGCTACCAGCCAAACAGGTCTCTCCAGGTAGTAGTTTGCTGACCCCTGGAATAGAAGTGTTGATTGCCTCAGGTTGCTATAAACTATTTTTTTTTTTTTGAATAGGGTCTTGAACTCGTGGCAATCCTCCTGCCTCAGCCTCCTGAGTGGTGGGATTACAGGTATGCACCACCATGCCTTTACTCTTGTATTAATATATTCAGCATCATACTTGTTAGATAAAATGAAAGCACAATCTTAAAACAAAAAGCCTTAATATGCTGTTCATACTTTGGTTTAAGAGCGATTATAATTTCCTTTGGATTCTATTTTAATAAATCTGGGCCAGGGATTTAGCTCAGTGGCTCCACCACCAGCCTGGCAAACACAGGACCTGAGTTCAATCCCCAGTACCAAAAAAAAAAAAAAAAAAAAAAAAAAAAAAAGTCAAGGAAATAATTAGAATTAGTATTTTCCTCACCAAATGAAACTGCACCTGCACTGTCTTATTTTACATTTAGCTTCCATATGGCTACTTTACTCCATTCTGTTTATAGGTAAGGTTGGCCATGACAATTTGGTATCAAACCACTAAAGCAGACTACTTATCTCAGCTATTTCTAATCACTTCAACATTGATATCTGAAATCATTCACTTGGTTCTACAGTATCTCCCATGATTTTACGATACATACACAATACATACATATAATTGGGAGGGTTGCTAGGGATTGAACCTTGAATCAAAGTTATTGCACTGATCTACATCCCTATCCCTGTTTTTATTTTGTTTTTCATTTTGATACAGGGTCTGGATAAGTCATTAAATTGCCCAGGCTGGACTACAATTTGAGATCATTCAGCCTCACCCTCTTAAGAATACTGGATTATAGGCATGTACCACCTTGTCTAGCTAATATATGTTTTTTAATGTGAGTGAAATTCAATTTAATTGTAAGTTGGTTTGCATGTACCTTTTTAATTAGTGACTTATGGAGTTATATGAAAAGTGGAGTGGTAGTGTGTTTTTGTTTTTGTTTTTTGTATTGGGGACTGAACTCAGGACCTTGCACTTACAAGGCAGGCATGGTGCCACTGAGCTAAATCCCAGCCCCCCAAAATGGAATGAAAGCCTATCACTGATTAGTTCAGATTCCATTAAAAATAATTATAAGAGGCCATGAATAAATTACTTAGTATTTCTGTTATTATAATTTGTATCCATTTGGAGAGATTGAAGAAGAAAAAGGGCCGGGGATTTAGCTCAGTGGTTCAAGCGCAAGGACCTGAGTTCAATCCCCAGTACCAAAAAAAAAAAAAAAATTTTTGTTGTTTTTCAAAAGAATTGTTAAAAAATATAATGTAGTTATTTTCACATACTAGTTACTGTATATAATTAAGAAAACAAAATTTGAATTTTGAAGAGAAACAAAAATGAGAAGAAATTTATTTTCTTGTCATAATGTCTGCTGTTTTTTGAAATAAACACAGTAATCAAGCTGAATAGGGGTACAGTTAATGTTCTCTGAGCAGATCAATACAATGCAATTCAAGGATTCTTAAAAGAAGGGTATAAAGCAAAATAATTTCAGAGAAGTTAATTTCAAGGGGTAAAAACTATGATGATTTATTTTCATTCTTTACATTATAGTCTTCCACTTCTCTGAATATAAGAAAGATATAAAATTATGAGTGTGACTTTAAAAAAAAACTAACTAAGATACCAGAGCTGGGACTAAATTGACATACCTGCACATCCCTATTGTTTTTATAAGTAAAAATGGGGGAAAGTACTTTAAAATAATTAAATAAAACAAATATGTTATATATTTTATGGCATGTTATACACATAACTTTCTCAACTGCATTGATATACTAGTCTGTATTACTACAAGTTATACATATTCATGTTAACATTTATTTTCAGAGTACTCTGAATATAAAAATATTTTTTGTTAAAAATTTTGGAAAATAGTAAAAGTCAAAGAAAATATTTAAAATGACTGTGATGGTTAACTTCAGGTGCTAACTAGATTAAGGAACACTGAGAGAAGTGGTAAAGCATTAATTTTGGGTATGGATGTGAGGATATTTCCACAGAAACTGACATGTGAATATGAATGGACTAAGTAGGGAAGATCTGCCCTCTATGTGGGCAGGAACCATCTACCTGGCTGGGCACCTGGATACAACAAAAACAGAGAAAAGGTGAACTGGTGTCTCTGTCTCTTTCTCTGTCTCTCTCCCTCTTCCCCTCCTGCTTTTTTCTCCTGCCTTAGGACATCAGAATATTATCGGCAGCTAAATTAGATAGAAATTAATAAAGTCAGAGGGACTGGGCTGTCAAGGCAATCAGCACAATAATAAAGACATCAGAATTGTGGCCTAAGGCACATCTGGAGAAGGCCAGGCCTATGTGCCTTTCTAAGGGATAAACAATAACTTGAGATTATATTGTAATTAGCACCACCTGCTCCAGTAAGTGCAGGTAGGTAACAGTTGCCCAGGTGGATGACTAGAGCATCTGGACTCATTCTTCCCCCAAAAATACCTTGCTGTCAGCCGAGCATGGTGGCACACGCCTGTAATCCCAGCACTCAGGAGACTGAGGCAGAGGCATCGGATCGCTGTGAGTTCAAGACCAGCCTGGGCTACATAGTGAGTTCCAGGTCAGTCTCAACTACATAGTGAGACCCTGTCTCAAAAAAACAAATACAAAACAAAACAAAAAAAAGCCTTGCTGTATGATTAGTTTCCCTATTGGATTAGCCAAGAGGCTGTACTTGTAATTGTATAGACTGACTGTAGTTTGACCACACTGTATCCACTGTGTGACTCTGCTATATAAATTCCCTTTGACAAAGGTCCTCAGCAGCCACCTACTCAGGACTCCTCCTGGAAACCCAGGAGCTATTCTTTTCTCCTTAACAACTCTCTGAACTTTCTTTGATTCATGATTTCATTCCTTGACATTGTGGGACCATGAACTTAGCACATGTGACATCTAACAGACTGGGAGTTACATTTTTCCTATATCAAGAACTTGGAATTCTTCAGCTAGTAAGTACATCAGTGCCTCCCTCTACCACCACCCCTGCTGGTAGCATTCCTGAGTATACAATGTAAACAGACTGCTGTGAGGCTTCTCAACCTCCATAATCACCTGAGCCAATTCTCCTAATAAACTCCTCTCAAATATCTCTCTGCAGGTATGTCCTACTGGATCTGCCTCTCTGAAGAACACTAATATTTAACCACCCAGAAATAATACTTTTGCAAAACAATTTTTAAGTCTTTTTAAAAATACA